CTTCCCCCTCCCCCAACCTTCCCTTTTTCCCCCCATTCCCCTAAAACCTTTCTCCCCCCCCAATAATAAACTCAGAAATCATCTGATGCACCACAGGGGAAACCAGCCCACAGGTGGGCAGCAGGGAGGTTTCCCCTGAATGTTTTCCAGGAGGAGCTGTTTGCTGTTTCTGAGACAAGGACCCACCACCCACCGGTGTTGAGGATGAGCATCTCGGTGCTTGTGCCAGGAGAAGCACCCGGCCCCGGCTGGGGGCTGCTCCGTCCACTGGGGCTTTGGTGAATTCCCTGTCGGTCAATTTTAGACAAGTAGCTTGGTTGCATTTGCCCACAGCTAACTAAATGAATGACTGCTGTGGCCAGCTGGGAATATTCTCTATGGGTACAACTGGGCTACCCCAGAGCAGTTCATAGCAGCAAAGAAAAAGCAGGGCGACGGGAACGTAACAGAGCTGTTGCCAGTAGGTCAGCCAAGCTGGAAAGGTAAAGGGCACATTGGATATGCAGTCAGCTAGGTGCTGTCTGGATGCTGCTGAGGGACATTAGGAACTTGTGCTTGTAAATGGCTGCAAGAAACTTGATGTCAAGTGTTAAATAAAAACTGATTCAAAAGTCCTATTTCTAAATGCAAGTAATGCCATCAATATAAATGAGAAGATATAACACCAAGTCCAGGGAAGAAAGCAAGCACATCTCACATTTGTAAGCACACGCTAGTACCAAGAAATCTGGAATTTGATTATCCTTTTATTTACAAATTTTAACGTAAGTGTCAAAACACAGCATAGCCAGGAAGTTCTAAATATGATGACATTCATACTGTATTCTGCCACAGTACATCGATGGTAAAGGCCATATTTTGTGTTCCAAAGACAAGTTCCAAAATTAACTACACCGTACAGGGGTGTGAGCTGTGACAGCAGCCTCGAGCTGCTGGAAAACTGAGTTGTGAGCAACACAGGGACAGCACAGAACTGACCACAGCCAGCTTGGAGGCAGATAAGCAAAAATGGTCTCATAACAGACCCAAGATAACAGCGATGCCATCTTTCTCCACAAGCCACTGTCAAGTTTTACACTTGCATGTCCCAACCCCCAAGGAACCTAAAGGACTGATGACTTAAGGGAGTTACTGAGCGTTCACAGAAACCATTTCACATGCCACTTGCTACACAGCTCAGTATTTTACACTGTTATTCTTCCTTCACCGTTAACAGTAGCCAGACGTTCACCCAGCATGGCCAGACAACAGGCCGAGTTAAACACCTGAAAAACAACCACCCAAAGACTGGGGGATGAAAGCATGGAGGGAAAAGGAACCTAACACAAGATCACACATGCTGCTGAGCCTTAGCAAGGGTTTCAAAGGAACAGTTGGGAACATTTACACATTTAAACATCGTATTTCTTGCACAAACATTTTCTTCACTGACATTTTTGTCAAGGCAAAGGTGCTTTCCAATACAGATCAGGTAGCCCACCAAAACATGGCAAATTCAGCAGATATCTACTCTCTTCATTTAAAGAGAAACCCTCAAGAGGGCAGCAGTTAGACAAAAGAAAGCCCAGCTTCCTTCAAAATCCTCCAAACCAGCTTCTACCCTTGTCACACACCAATAACCACTGTTTTTCTCTGAGCAACCTCAGATAAGACCCGGCCCTAGGCCAGAAAGTCAATGTTTCACCAGCTGTTTTGCATGCAAGAAATCCAGCAGCAATGGCAGCGTGAGCTCTGTCCTTGGACTGGACCTGAGCCTCTTCCCATGGCAGTCTGCTGGGCTAACAAGAGAGTAAGGGATCCTCCTCTCTCCTGCAGAGACCTTGCAGCTTTAGCACCTGGAAACTCAGGTGGATTGTTCCCACTGTTTCAGCCACCTGCATCGAGGAGAAAAGCAGAATGATGTTATGGACGGGCTAACAAAACCAGAGGTAGTCCCTGATGGTATGTTTCCTTTATTTTGATTTATTACATGTCCTTACCTTGCTAAAGCTGTGCACTTACACATCTGTGCTTCGTAGAAGAGACAACTTTAGTAAGGTTTCTTTTTCCCCCACTTCTATTATAAGGGTTGCTTCCCACCCCAATGGTTTTTCTTCTTTCTTCCTAGTAGCATTAAGTCATCGCATCACATGAATGTAAGTGACAAATACACTCATATAGATTACAAGCACGTCCAGCATTGGTGCAGAGATTTCAGAGTCAGCAGCTGCTCCCTCTCCTCAAAAAGGAACCACCAGAGCCCAAAAGAAAAAAAACCTAACGCACACAGTATTGCCATGGCACGCTCGTGGCTATCTGTAACTAACACTGAGTAGGAGAGGAGGGAGGCTGTGGTGCCTGGCGTTCCCTGCGGCCACAGAGAGAATCCCCGGAGGAGCAGGTATGTGATCACATCCAGGCTGGCAGCACCAGTGTACCCAGAGCATTGAGTAAAGCCCATCTATGCAGGACACAAGGTTCCAATAGAGCCAGAGAGATTCTGGAGCACAGCCCCGAAGACCCTTCCAGAGCACCTTGTCTCCTTCCCTCTTTATTCTCCCCAACTTCTCCCTCTGGAAGGTACAGTCTCGGTGCCCAGCCTCAGTGAGAAAAGAGGGGTGATAATGAGAGTAAAAACCCTCAGCTAAGCACTGCATTTCTAGCTTTCAAGAGCACAAGACAAACTCCAACACATAGAGCAGACTCGCAGGAAGATGCTGAGCATAAGATGTAACAATACCCCAACAGAGAAAAGCAAAACAACAAACAAATCCACACATTTTCTTCTATGAGTTTTCTTTCAGATAAACTGACTGACTGAAAGAACTGCATGTCTTTCAATGGACAAGATGAGAAAGTATTAAAACCACATTAAAAGCCTCAGCTTAAAACAATCTGGAATGATAAGATGCAATGCTACGTGAAAGTGCAAATAGAGTGGCAGAATTCAAATTTAGTACTTCAATCTTAAGACAAGTCAACCACATAGCCAGGACTCCTTCTCTCCCAGACTCCTATCTCATACTTGGAGAGCACTGAGGTATCTCAGCTACATTAAAATGCATGACATAGTTACTAAATATTTTCTCTAATGTTAAGCTTGACAAGCCCCCCCAAACGCTTTTCTCCCTTCTTGCAAGAAAGTCCATTTTCTGTGATGCACTTGACAATGCTGTACGTAAAACCCATTTCTTCCACTCCTCATGTGAAGGCAGCCAGTTTCCCCTTTTTGTTATTCTGTCAGCTTGCTCAACCCCCAACTTCCTGAGCTGCTTAATTTCCAATGCCAATGCCTAGCACCTCAGCTCAGGAAAATGATTTACCTGCCACAGCCAACTTCAGTATCTGTAAAGAAAACTGCACACTGCTCACAGTAAGAAGTCTGTCATAGCTAGGTGTCCTAACCGAGAACATGAAGTGCAAAAGATTTTCCCATTGCACCTCCCAACTAGGTAAGTGTTCATGAAACTATCCATTTGAAAGACATGACAAGACTACACAGCAGAAATTGAAGCCACCAGAAGGCTAAACTGCAGAAATTAAAGCCTACCTTTTACAGGCAGGTGTGATCTTCTCCATAAGGCTAATGCTCAACTCTGGGGAAGCTGGCTTCTGATGCATCGGGCATCAAGGTCCCTGACAGCTGTAAATTGGGAAAGAAAGAAAAAAAAAAAAAAAGGGGGTTAATTTCCAAGCGTAGTATAAATAGAACAATCAGAAACCACCTTCTAGGGACATATGCGATGCCAACATGTAACTTAAAACAAATCTGTTCTTTGATAAAATCAGACTTTAAAAATGCTTCCCCCCTCGTCCCAATACAGTCCACCAATTCTCAACTGGAAGCAAGGTAGCCAAAGTGACTGCCTATGGAATTACCTATCTCTCAAACAATGTCTCCGTGTCACTGAGGAACTAATCTTTAAGAGAGTTGCAAGCTTTCCCCTTCTCTCCCTATGCCTGGCTCCTACGCTTTCTCCCTCCGTACTGCACTCAGCCCCTCAACATCTAACACAGCCGGAACAGTTCTCCTCAAAACACGTGTCCCTCCTGGTCTCTATTCAACTCCGGTAAATCAGGCCTACTTGCACCTTGATCCAGCCAGCTGAAATAGCAACAGTTCATGCTGTCTGTCTTAGCAGTGAGAGTCTAACCTCAGAGAGAAAAATAGAGCCCCATGTTTCATCTGCCACCCTTCTTCTCTTCCCCCCGTGTAAGGCCTCAGGTCCTTTTACTTAGACAGTTAAGAAACCAAGGCAAGTTCTGCTTCTGTTAAGAGTCACACTGGAATTCTGTGGGTCACGCTGTTCAGAAAGTCCTGGACCAAACAAATACAGAGCAGCACAAACTATTTTATTGCTTTGTTACCTGCTGTGAGGCTAGACTTGGGTTATGGAGGTCAATAGCAGCAAGGGAGGGGACACGGAACTCTGAAACTGTTTTATTTTCCTTTTTCAGAAATCTGGGATGCCACGCTGCAAAACACAACCAATGCATACAATGTTAAGGAAGCAAGAGCTGACTGTTGTAACGCATACCGCTTCCTGCCACTTATTTAGTATCCAGGTTTTATTTAGAGGACATCAAAGCTCATACCTTCCACTCCTCTCAGTTCAGGGAGATGATTTAGTTCTGGCAAACGCACATCTGTCTTGGAGAATTCCCATTTTTTCCTATTTGCCTGAAGGATGTTTTTTTCATTAGTCACCTGTAATCAAAAGGCATAAGTACCAGCTCATGGAAATGTAGAAAAATGAAAGCTATTTTCAAGCTTAAAAATGCACCAACACAGCAATGTTCGGCTGTAGTTGGAACGTCCACAAGAGTAAAAGAAGAGACTCTAATGCGTGTGAAGGAATCCATTCTGCTCAAGTGTCATTTATACATTATAAACAAAGGAACAACCACAGCAAAAAAACCCAATCATATAAGCGAGACTGCTTTCAGAGAGACAAAATACAACACTTGGAGAACAGCTCAGATTAGTTATCTGTAAAAAGACAAGTGTTCCTGCTGGCAAGGGAAGAATATTACCTAGGTAGTGAGTGCAGTGGAAAGCTTTCCATTTCACTTGTTTTCATTTTCAATTTTTAATGCATTTATGATATGACTAAACAAGGCCCTGACCACGTCACATCCAAATCTTCAATTCCGCTTCAGTAGCGCGGCACACATGGTCTACTTTTCCTGACCAGAGAGGAGACTATGGATATATTCCAAGTCTCACAGATATCCCGTTGGACTGCTCCCCTCATTTAAAATTCTCCTCTGACACAAAATATGTTTCATATAAGATAACTATTAGCAAAGGATAGCAGACAACACATCTATAGGTAAAAAAAGGGGTAAAGAAAATAATCTTTCTAGTTGGGAGTTATGGTAAAGACTGCAACAGATGGGATTCTTGACAATAAAACACATACTTGAGTTCAGAATTTGGTTTTGCTTTGCCAAGGGGGAAAGACAGATGACTTACCGATGTCAAGCTTACACTGTAATGGCCTGCTGGAGAATGCTTCCGTTGCTTTAGAAATGGGTTCAAGTATTTTTTACTCTTTTCATCAACTCTGTAATCAAAAATGCCCCAAACTTTGTGTTAACTGGGGTAACATGGTGAATATACAAACAACAAAAGCAAGACATCCAGAAACACTGTCATTAAATGCTTGGAAAGAAGGCTTACAAGGAGAATATCCTTTGTGAGATCAGTTAACAGAGAAGTTCGGTCCAAAGAACAAGCCATGAGTCAAAGAAAGGCCAGTGTCACAGCAGCTGGCAAACTCTTGCTGTTCAGTAGAACTTTGCCAAATGCAGAAACACATGGACCCTGTGCCTGCGTGGACAAGCACAGCTGCTCAAGGTGAAGTTGGGCCTTCTGATCCACGTACAATCCTCCACCCAAGAGCTGTTTCTAGCCGTGTCCTGTCCCAAACCCGCATGTCACATACCCACGTCATCACCCTGCACCTCTCTCAGGACATTACAGTTCCTCGGCAAGAGGGATGATGGATACGAGCTCTTCTAGCTCTGCTCCCATACCTGTAACTAAGGTTCCCAGGCACAGGACCCATCCCAACCGTGGTGGGAGAAAAGTTCTGGTTGATGGGAGGGATAACTATGCCTGCATTCTTGGCATAGTCCAAGCTGCTGCTGGAATCTTTTAGGCTGGTTTGAGGGCTTATTTTAAATGGGTTGATCGCACTGTCGTAGAGGGAGCTCAGGTTGGAGGATCGGTCTGCTTTCTCTGCATCAGCTTTAGAGCGCTTCGCCTTTAATAGCTTTGCATCTCTGCTCTTTGGGTCAATGCTGAAATCCTGTTTGGGAAAATAAGCATCATCTTTCTCTTAGTCATGTTTAAAAAGTAGCTTAGAGCACTGCCTGCAGGGAAAAAATGGTCAAAAGCCTAAACCTGCATGATTCTGCAAGGAGCTGATGAGATGGATTTGTTTTTACTAGAAAACCTCTGTTTTCCATTAAGCAGGAGACCCGTCAGGATTCTAGCACCCTCTATAAATAAGTCACCTTAAAATGGGATTGGAAATGATGGAGGAAGAACAGCCGTATCCTGTGTCACTTCCAAAGAAATGAAATAAGAACTGAGCCCAATGTCACCTCAAAGTCACTCTGAAGCCTCTGCTCCTTAATATCTGATTGAAAGCAAAATATATAATTTTGGAGTCAGGGCTTTAACACAGGTAAACAGCAGCATACAAGCATGTTTTCATGATTCAAGATGACTTATGCTTCCCAATTGATTCTCCCTTCAGCTCTGTATTTACCAGTCACTGCATCACAATGTAATTTACCTGCAAGGGACTGCCCAAATAGCCACTTGCAGACTGTTGAGCCAAGCACAAGAGCAACCCTGCAGCAGCCAAACAGCTAGAATCAAAGGCACAGAACTTCTACACAACAGCCTGCAGGCTGTATTGCACTGAGTGTCAGAGCTGTGCGGGCACAGGCCTAACGTACTGCCTTGAATCAGGCGACAGGATCTTCAGCACTGTTTAGACTCACAGTGGCCTCCAAAGGTGAGCTTCTCTGGCACGTCACAGTTACCTAATCTTTATTAAAAAAAAATAAAATGGAAAACTATGCTTATATTTTTGCTATGAACTTAAACTGCTGCACATACTTATATAGTGACTTTAAAACATAAAACAAATAAGAAAAAATACAGGTTTGGAAAACAAAGATGGACCAACCTGGACACCAATAATTTTTCTTTCTTCTAAAACATCATCTTTGTCCCTTTTGCTGATTTTTGATTTTTTTTGTAATTGATGGTCTCTGGCATCTTTCTGAATCTTCAATTTAAGCTCCTGAGCAAATCTAAATTCCATATAAGGGGGGGGGGGGAAAGGGTTTCTGTTAATCTCAGTATCATCATCAGTTGGTGTTCAGCCCAGGCTCCTATAGCCTTTTAAGTAATCAAACAAACCATGCCTTTTTAACTGAGAAGCCAACCAAATATGATGTATCCATTAAAATAAATACAATCTTACAAGCACACGCTTTTCACATTACAGCAATAAATATATTTATGTCCCAGTCTGGTGTAGATGCAGACAGTGCATACAGTGTAAGACTATACTACCCAATACAGTGTGACACTGGGTGCGCACACTGAGGAATTAATGTCATAACAAGGTAATGAGGCAAACATGCCGCTGCAATGTGTTTTCCCTTTCAACCGTTCTCCTACTTCCAGGAAGGCTAAAACCAAACAAAACCAAGACATTCAGCAGCTGTCAGCTCTGCGAACCCCACGTGCAATCTTCAAGCGGAACTGCTTAACTTACTTCTAATATGAGCCTGCTTTGAGCAAGAAATGAACCGTTTACCTTTCAGCAAATCCATCCTTGTTAAAGAAATCGCACTGCAAGAGTTCGGCACAGGATGGTCTTTTGTCTGGATCAATCTGCAAACACTTCTGTCAAATCAAAAGAAACATTAGAAAGCAAATACATTAGAAACGAAACAAAGGCTTTAGCATTTCCGACTGAAGTCAAGAAAAAAGCTGCAAAACTTCCCCTTCTAGGGCCTGTTATATTGAGATGGGCCCAAGAGACACCAATACTGAAGAAGATTAATGTTTGCTGACTGCTTCCATTCCAGTCACTAATGCTCACAAAGACTTATTGCATAGGGAATACCTGTCATACAAATAGATCACTCTGCTCTCAGTAAACCTCCCTTGTTTTCAGTTACATTTGTTTGGCTAAGGCTTTAGAAACTGTTTTGATCATCAGACATTTCAAATACAACCATGTTGTTTTTAGGTTGTTTTAGTTACCCAACATATCAGTGCTCCAGATGACTGTGTCAAAGCACAAAAACACTCCCTGGAAGGATTCTCCAGAATCTATTACAAAGTTGTAGGCTTCCTAATTCTCACATGGTAGACACATAGCTCCAAGAGCATGGCACACATTTGGATGACATCCCATCCAAGTCTACTTGCTTGCAGTACCTCCACCAGCAAGTAGAGGGAGGGTTGGCAGAAAACACTATCCACACGGCTCTGCTAGCAAGTAAGAAGTCGGGGGCTGTGTATCATCTACGTAGCATCCACTTAGGTAGCAGACAAGGGGGCAAAACTTCTTGGGAGACCTTCCAAAAGATCGACTGATGCAGTGAAGTGTACGTGGGACACTTTCAACATACAAGCCCTTCTTCACCTTTCAAATCTCCTTGGAAAACTTAGTGGGGCACTAGATACTACAAATCCTCCCTGGAGGATATAGAGTGATTATTTTGGCTCTGGAGATGACTAGCTTAGTATCCCCTGCCACCCAGGACGGTGGCTGTTGTACCCTTGCAGTCCTCACTAAGGTACCAACCCAAGCAATTGCTCATTGTATAGGTAATTGAGGGAAAGCCAGTTTAACAGCCTCAGCCCTTTCGTAGGCTGTATTCACTTCCCCAAGGCGAAGGACAAGTAAACAGAAAAATGTTCATAATAAACGATCAGTTAATTACCTTGGCTAAATCTAGTACTGCAGCAGAGAGCTTAGGATATCGTTTGTCCAGAGATTCAACCTCCTTCACTTCAGGCAACCTCATGCCAGCAAAAAGGGGATTTTTATAGAATAACTCTTGGTGTCTTGGAATTAAATTACCTGGAATCACACAAACAAAGCAACCCCATGGAATAACTACAGAAGAGTCCCATGAAACATTTGAGAGGCTGAAATACTGGGTCAGCACTACTGTAAGAGCTACAGTCTGAGTTGTTCTCTTTCCACCTGTGCACCACGAATTGATGCTGTACTCGCAAGCTCCTAGCTCCCCCTTTGTAAAAGGCGCTAAGAGTATATGCTCTCCTAAATACACACACCACAGCCTTTCTCCTTGCACCTTACTTCCCCCTCTCAAAATGTACTTCACTCCTTCATTACTAAGCAGGCACTAGGAGGCCAACAGGCATTTCTTACCCAGGCACTTGGTGATATGGTAGAGCTGGTCAATGTCTGAATCTCCAGGGAAAAGGGGCTCTCCTGTAAGCATTTCTGTTATCAGAGAGCCAATAGCCCACACATCCACAGCCCTGGAAAAAAAACAACAAACAACACCCCAGCTCAGCACAGCTTCATTTGTCTCTGATCTAAAGTCTGAGCCAGGCAAGCGCATAGTACGTCTTCAGCAGGTTAGGAGCCCCGAGGGCAGCTCTGCTCCCCGAAACAGCAAGACAGCTGTTTTTCAAGCTTACAAGTGCTCTGATGAATGGCAAGGATTCGGCTCTTGAAACAGACAAATGCTAGCAGAAGCCTGACAGATGTAAAATCAGGTTCCAAAAACTAATGCTTTAAAAATACTAATACAACATAACACATTAGTAGAATCTTGCACTTCAGAGAGCACAAAGGTAAGCAGCTCCTCTTTCTGCAGGCATCCGCTCTTCAAGCATATTTGCTGAAAATTAAGTAATACAGGGACATACATAAACCCGCACAATTGTACTAACAGACCTGTGAATAACACAGTTTAAGTTCTGACCAGGTTTTGTGGCACTGGGGATCCCATTAAGAAAAATCTCATTCATCCCACCTCCTCCCTCCTGAAATGTCCATCTAGAATTGTTGGAGGGACTTTTCTGTCTTCCCTCCATGACTCCAACTGCACAGGACTGAGGTCTGTCATAGCCTCCCCAATGCTACCATTGGCAACTGAAAAGCTCCTATAGACAACAGACCAGGAATGCTGAGGGCTCTCCTCACCTTTTGAGCCAGGAAAGCCTAGCACTGGCAGTAGCTAGCTGCAGAGTGGGAAAGAGAAGAGGAAAGCTTAAAACTTTATAAGTGAATAACCAGGGAATGCTGAACAGCATCCCTTTAACCTGTTTGCCAAGCAATAGTCCCCTGCCTCCCCAAAAACCAGAGCATCCCCCTGCCCCATACTCCCCACAAGCCTACAACCCTTCTGCAGCCTCGCGTGCCAGTCTTACTTGCCATATTTGATATCTCCCACCAGCAGCTCTGGAGCTCTGTACCATCGGGTTGCCACGTAGTCTGTGTAAGCTTCCCCTGAAGCTGCTAAGGTACGGGCAAATCCAAAGTCACATAGTTTTACAACTCCCGACTGGGAAACTAGTATGTTCTCTGGCTTAATATCCCGATGTATTATCTGCGCAGAGAAAAGAAAGTCAAGACAAATAAATTCCCCATTTCTACATAGTAAAGTGATTGGCTCACCAAAAATAGTAGCTTTCTTGCATCCAGGTAGAAAACTACATTTTTGCAGGTGTGGGAAACATACAGAAACTGTAAAAGACAGCTACATGCACACAGTCAATGAACAAGTGCCGACCCAAGTACACAGGTGAACACAGAACCTCTAATTTTTGCACACAGAAGCATTTATTTTATGTATTGCTCTGCATATGTTCTGCAGGTGTATTTAGTGTAGGTATTTTAACAGGCACACTTTATTATGCTTGAAAATCTGGCCTTGACCACAAGTTTAAAAGCTGTAAGTATTACAAGGGCCATGGGCATGTCCTGCAGTTAAACGTGAAGAGTATTTTTGGAATTCATAAGAGACACAGTTTCCCAAACATAAAAATAAATAAATAAATGCACATGTGTTTATATAGAGAGTTACACAACTATGATTAAATTGGCAAACCTGTTATAATTCAGTCAAGAACAAAAACCTAAAAATACTGAAAAGAAAAAAGCAAGCCTACATGTTTACATAGACCTATTGGAGTCAAACTTTTTAAAGTGAGACTGATAATCTCCCTCTGCAAGATAAGCCAACCTATAATAAGGTGCCACCAAGTGTTGGATCCCCATGGACTTCTGGACCCTTCCTTTGAAACACATTCACAAATCAATCAGAGACAGACTACTGGATTACCTGACATCAAGCTCTGACATTTTACATGAAATTCAGTCCAGCCCTTCTGCCCTGCCTCTTCCTTTTTGGCAAAAGCTTTATTTTTCTAAGTTTTAATATATATGAAAAATATAGGCTTCTGTATCTATTCATTCAAGGTTAACTACAGAGCTGACTTCTTATGCATACTTACATTATGACTGTGACAAAACGCTATTCCTCTCATAATCTGAAATAAGTATTTCCGAACCCTGCTGTAGTCTAGTCCATTTGGAAACGCCTCAAGGTCATCAAGCACCGTGTGATCCACAAATTCAAACACCAGATACCACCGTTTCTTCTTTTTACACACTTCCAGCAGGTTCACGAGATTCTCATGCCTGAGTTGCTGTTATAAAACAGGAAAATATTTTATGAGAGCTTGACAGCATATAATGGGTAAACTACAACCAGATACTTTCAACTGCAACCCAGCCACTGCACTCACTGCCCTGGCATGCTCTTCTTGTGATGGCACTCACACTCATTTATTCTTAAAATCAGCTCACTGATATTTTTGAATAGGTTTTATTTCACCAATTTTATTTTATTTTTTTAACATTATCTGGAGGATTTCCACCACCTCATATATGCAGACACCTGTTTTTGTAACCTAAAAAGAAATAAAACACTGACTAAGGACATTTCTTCTTAATGGGGATGCTGAAAACACACTGTTGTTTTGTTGGAAAAATCTCACGCGTTCTGCTTCTCAAAATATTCTCCTCACATAAGAGGTGACACTAACTCATGCCCTGATCTTGACAAGCTTTAGAGCAAGCTTATGTTCCACATCAGATAAGTCTTGAGGAACTAAAAAAGAAATCTAGAGGAACATTTGAGAGACAAATGAGAAAGACGTGAGAAACAGCAGGCACCTAACAACATCTCCCACAAAGACTTGCCATAGCAAAGGAAAACCCAGAGGTCCCCGAGCTAGCAGGAAAGACAAAGCTGCACGGTTTGTACCGGGAAGTTCAGCATTCTGCCAAGTATGTCTGACCACTGCGAGAACAACAGGGCATTTAACCATGACTGATGAGCTGCAGGGACTCCTTACTAATTCCCTGGTTTTGCTTACAAACAGCTCAAGCAGCAATAAACACAGCTTGTTCCTGTAACATTGGGCTGTATCTGTGACTCAAACTCCTTTTAGGAGATATTCTTATCAAGGTGACCAAGTAACACTGTGCTACCCTGCCTCCTCCCTCAGGGCAGGGAACTAGGAGCAATACTAGCTACCTCTTCAAGACAAGATTCAAAGGATTGCTGAAGACAGCTCTCAACTTTCTGTTTTAAGAAAACTTTTTGCCTCTCCCAACAATCCAAAGCTGATTCATCTCTTCTCTCCCACATTTCCAGGAAGTTTTACTACTCTTCTCTGTCATTCCCTTCTCTAGGTCCTCTTTTTTAAAATCTTTTACATCCCCATTTACAAGAAAACAAAACCAGCTGCAATGCTTCTCTGTTCTACCTAGCTGCCAGTTCATCACTGTAACAGGAACTAGGCCTTAAGCCTCATTGTTTCTAAGACTATTCGTATCAGACATGTAACTAATGATTAGAGATTGCTTTAGATGTGATTAGTAGAATGCAGGTGCTTATAAAACAATATGTATAAGCTGCTTATTTGTCCTATGTGTAGTCTCCACCATGGCTGGCTAAAACCCCAGTCAAGCTGAATCAACACAGGAAGGATCATACATCTTAGACCTAAGACATGAGAGTAAGTGATTAACTTTAGAACAAGATAAATTAATAGAATAGCCTGAGTGATTTTCAGAAATTCAAAGGTGATCTTTGATGTGTAAGAAGATAAGTGATTGTGGTGACCCAAGACCTTCTGCCTACGACCACTAACTTCAGAAGAACCGGGACACGAGAACTGATGAGATAAGTTGAGGAATGATAATGACACGGGAGCCGAGATCAACTGGAAAATTACAAAGAGTTTGGACTGGGATAATGGGTGGTAAAAGGTATATAAGACTGAGAAATTTTTGGAAGTTTGCCCTTCACTGCGCTGGTGGCCCAACTCTCAGTTGTTAATAAAGCAAACCTAGAGGAACCCATGACTGAAAAGCCTTTAACAATTGCCAACTACTCAGTGTATCTTAATTTTTTCTAATAAGGCTGATAGACTTTTAAGGTCCTACCGTACCCAAAGCATTTCTGTTGGCACTGCCAGCTTATACACATTTACGATAACTAACATGCCAGAATACAAGCACATTGAATGGATAAAAGGAAAGTTCAGAATTCTTACCTATAATAGTGTTAACAATTAAACAGCTTCTATTAAACTTTGTCTAGTGGATTCAGACTGAGAATTGCCAAGGATTTGAAGAGGGTGGTTTTTTCCCCAGTATTATGCAGAGGGGGAAGCTGAAGACAGAAGAAAACCCTGCAACTTTAAATAGAAAGAAAAAAAAAAAAAGCTACTGTATTTTCTAGCTATTTTGTCATCGAATTCTGACCAGCCAAGAATCTACCTCCAATTCGTTACACATTTGTAACACCGGTTTACCACACACCACTTGAACAAAACAGACCATGCTACAATGCGCAGTTATTTATTAGCTTGGAGCCTGGCAGGGAAACATCACTGGAGGCTGCCTAAAGGCAGCACCATAGCCCAGGGATCTCGACCAAGGAAGATACAAAAGGACTGCAGAAGACAGGGACTTGTAGGGGAAATGCTCTGCCAGTCCAGAGGGAGTACCAGCCAACCTGCATCTGGGTCTGTCATAGACTCAGATTTCTTAAAAGGTCTGAAAAGTGAAGATTTTAAAAAAGATGATCAATTAGAAAAAAAAGCTCTTTTCTCAAAAATATTTCCTTCCCAGCATAGGAGACCTAAAGAGGTTTTCCTGTTTTCAGCCACGATTAAATTTTTGCCCAAACTCCAGAACAGGAGGAAAAAAAATATTAAAAAATAAAAGAATTAGGTTCACAGGGAGCACGCAAGTAAAGAAACTACAGAAAGATTAAATCTCTAGGTATTTATTTTCACTATGAGAGGCCACACTTATTGAGCTATACATGGAAATGTTCCCCTTGCTAAGTTTCCATTTACCCAGGAAAACAAGTTAATTCCCAACACACCTGGGAGGTGGTACGTGCTTTGACTCAGTAACTAAGCCAGCCTGGCCAACAGATCAGGTACGATCCAAACTCACACCAATCTGTTTACAGGAGTTTGAGAGGACAACACTTGGAGCTGCTGGCTGCATCTCAAGCTCCAACATGTACATTTCTATTAACTCTAAGGGTCTGTAGCTCTTGCAGCAATGGCAGAGATCACCTTTTTTCCTATAGAGCACAGGGACTATAGTCTGGCAGAATTGCAAAGAGACACTTGTGGCAGCCAAGAGGAGAGCAGACAGCCTTGCACGTATTCCCTCCTCCAAAATGCCCTGCATCAGAGGAAAAGCCTAGATGCACTCCAGCTTTAATAAGACTTTCCTTCATTTCTTCACCAGACTGATCACCTGTGTCCCAACGTTTAAAACTACCACATGTGCCCATGCAGAGACAAGCACTCTTCTGTGCATACCACCTGTGGCACAAGGGAAGAAAGAAAATGCTTGCAACTACTGCTGGAGATTACGGTGGCAAACACAGGGGCTGAAGGCAGTCAAAAGAGCAATCAGAACAACAGATGTATGACCTGGCACGGAACGTCACCCTGCATCCTTGGCTCCTATTCACAAAGGAACGCAGCAGAAAAAACTGGCAATGAAAGAGTTTAGGAACTTGCAAAAGCTTCTGTAGGAAGAACAAAGCCAAGAGAGGAAGCAGAAAGACCACATGACAAAACACTGAAGAGCATACACATAAAACCCTGTATATCTAAACCTCTTGAGTGTTTTCCCAGACAGAGTATCTACAGCCCAAATCACGCACTCAAACAGCAAAGGACATTATTCCAGCTGGCTTCAGCCTAGGGGCTAGCCTTTGATTGATAAGGTTCAGGAAATCTGATACCTGTTCTCTTCCAGCTTCTCGCTGGTAGTACAAACCTGCCAGAAAAGTGCCATAAACAAAACAAAATTAAGTAAAACTTTCCTCAAAGCATTTTTCTGTATCAGGTAACACCAGTACCCAGTCTAGTTAGGCACACTGTCACACATTCAGGTCAACATTCACCTGCAGGTTTTAAAAGTTCAGCACTTCCTTACTTTGCAACAAATTGACAGCAGCAAGGTACTGGAATGTGGTACACAACACAGGGGGACACAATTACCATCAGGAGGGAATGGAGACCTTGCGACTCCCTTCCTCGTACCTTTCCCTGCTGAATACAGGACACATAAACAGACTAGATTCTAACGAAGCCAGATTTAGCCAGACAAATCCAGTACAGCACCCAGCCAAAGGAAAAAGCTGCTCTACAAGGCTATAACTCAAAGACTAAACAAATCTACCACGGCTTGGCTGCTCATGGAAATACAAACAGGGCCCAATCAAGTCTCTTTTGGTTTGGACTTTGTTAGTTATACTTTATAAATCATGGTCAAAAGCAACTGTGTTTCCCTTTCAAAACTGACACAATGGCTTAAATTTACACCTATCCCGTAACTTCACTGGATAAACACCCCTCCTTAAAGGACTATTAAGAAGTCTTAAGAGGCAGTTTCCTCCCAAGAGCTCACTAACTCCCTACAGGTAGGTCTCACTCCACCTTTACTGCAAGAAAAACTCAGACCACAGACATGAAGTTTCCTATTCTGCTCGAACAAGACATTTGCTTTCATGAAGGTATTGAAAACACCCGACTAAGATCCAAAATACGCCGTGAAGAGGCATCTCACGCACGGCAGAGGCTGGACCCGCACACTGCTGCTCTCCCTCCCCAGAGAACACCCACGCTGAGCTGCATCGTTCCCCTCGCCTGCAGCAGGACAGGTTGTTAGAGCGATAACTACAGGAGCTTCAAAATAAAGAGGTCGCGGCGCGCGTCGTCCTGCGACTCCCAGCTGACGAATTTAAACACAAAGCCATCAAAAAAGCCACCGGTTTGGTCCGACTCTGCTGCAAAACGCAGGCCCGCTCCCCTGAGCTGCCCTCACAGCCCCCGCGCCCCCCTGGTCACCTTCAGCAGCTTGATCTCCCTCACGGCGATCTTCCTCACCACCGCGTCGTCCTCGCTTTCCAGGAACTTCTTGACGGCGACGATCTGCCCAGTCTCCTTGTTTCTGCACTTGGTCACCACCCCGTAGCTGCCTTCCCCCACGAGGCCCAGCACCTGGTACTTCTCCATGGCCGCAGCTTTCCCCCTGCGGAAGGCCCGGGGACCGGAGAAACTCCGCTAAGCCGCGGCCGGGGTGGGTTGAAGGAACCGGGGCCGCACGGCCCCGCTGATGGACGGTGGCGGGCGCGGGCCCGGGTCCAACGCACCGTCACCAGGGCAACGGCCTGCCGTAAAGGCGCAGCCGCCGCGCCGGCTGTGAGGGACGGCGGGCTGCCCTGAGGGATGGCGGCCGCAACCGGCGGGACCGCGAAGCGGCCGGCAGCCCCCGCCCGTTGGCGGCGGGAGAACGAAGGTGGGCTGGCCGCCGTGAGGGAGGCAGGGCGGAGGCGGGATCCTGAGGTACCGCCTGTCCCCAACCTCTGGTGTGTTTGCGTCAGCCCCCTGGGGGGGGTGATGTCAAACCTGACCGGGCGGGAACGCCACTCCTCTTGCTGGAGAATGTAACCCCGATATTTTACGCTGCTCTTATTAAAAAAAATTGTAATTTCTGTGGAAAAGTTCGATGGTTCTTCTCAGCTACGGCCAACAGCAAGGTTCGGGTGTCAGCTACACACGATTCCTTGGCTATTAATAAATCATCAACGTAACTGTATCAAAACAGATCTGTTGTTTTTTTTTTAAACACAACATCCTGCAAATCTTTTACTAGAATTTTAGAAAACTAGCAGAGGACCCAGCGAAGCCCTGTCTGTTACCTGTATCTTTCCCGAAATAAATGCAAAAAACCCACATTGAGACCCCAGATGAATAATAGGTCTGCTGATTCAAGGCAAAAAAAAAAGCTGCCCCTGTATCTATTAGACAGGGGTAATTATGTTCATTAATTAAAAGGTTCAAGACCATATTCTCATCAGAAGAAGGGGAAAATAGTTTGTATTCAGTAGTGGCTGCACCACAGGTCCTTTTTTGGTCATACCCCTCTTCAGTGACCTGGTCATCCACAATAATTACAATAGTCTCCCGTTCGTTGAGGCCCATCGCTCCTAAAATCCGCTCCTCTGCTTTTGCCTTGAAGACCTCCGCGTCCCCGTCCCCTCAGCCTAGGATCGCTATTCAATCTTGGGCCGAGGTACCGGGGGGACAGGAGCAGCCACAAAACAAATTTGTGAGTTGATGGCACGGGAGATGCCGGACTCCTTCCTAACAATGCCAGCTTAAGGGAGCGCCCAAGACGTGCTACTTGGCTATAACGAGTAAAAAGGCCTTATAAAACTTTTTCCCTTGAGGTTCTTTTCTTAAAGCCATCAAGACACATAAAGAACAAATGACTAAGCAATCTTATCTTGGCATGAAAATGCACGGTGGGCAGAGCGCCAAGATAAAAAACCAGTATGAATTCACTTAATGAATATTCTGTGCCTGAGCAGCTGCGTGCTGTTGCAAGGCACTTCATGTTGCTAAGAACGTGGTGATGATAAAGGTGGAATAATTTGCTATCAAATTGATCTCTGTATCAGTGCCCTTGCTGTGCATTTTATTTTAAAAACATGGCAGTTTCGGCACGTTACGTGCAACTTAACTCCAGTCGTGAAGGTAACCTGTGTCCTTCAATAGGGGCTGCTTCTAGCAAAGTTGAAGCATGCGTGTGTGTTTACCGACTGAGGCTTAATCCAACCTACTCTTGCTCTTTCCACTGCACACCAGTGAAGGAGACAGCGACTGATGTAGCCACCCGTGACGGTGAGTCTTTCACTCACGTCGACTTGCTCCAGTCAGGAGTAGCAGGGCAGGATGCGTGCCAGAGAAAGCAATCAGAAACTGAAACTACAGAAACAAAAACATTCTGTGTGGATATGCTAGAAACCATGGCGTACAGTGATAGGGGGGGGGGGGGGAAGAAGAGATGAAAGCATCAGGGAGGAAGGAGTAGAGACCAGCTGTGTCTGTTCAAAGGACTGCAAAGCTGTGTAACTCCTACCTCATCAGGTCGCTAGGAAAATGTCACACCCCACAGCCATCGTGCAAAGACTGAGCTACTTTCCCTTTTCTGCTTTTACCAATCAATTCCTTGACATTTCTCTCCTCAGCTCGGTGGCCTATATTGCACAGTCTAGGGTACCGCAGAAGAAAAGGTCTCCAATTGCTCTGGAGAAATTTATGAACACCTGTCAGGTTTGACTACTGCAACATTTCTCTCTGGGAGAGGAGCAGTACACACCTTGCCAAAACGCCAGTTCCCTGGAAAATAGCATCATGAGGCATCATATATTCCAATAATACTTTCTGAAACCTTTGTCATATTTCTCAAGTCATGTTGATATGCGTCACCTTCTGTAATTCATTTCTGGTTGTTTTTATTTCTCCTTCCCTCTCACTCTCACTTCCTATATACAATCACTGTAATGCACCTTTCAAGGCTCACCTCACAGTTACAGGAAAAAAAAACAACAGAGCTCAGTTGGCATTAATTTATTATATTCCTCCCACCTTCTACTGCTTGTCATTATTATAGCAAGTGCCTTCTCTGGGACCTGGCATCTGTTCAGCACTGCTAATAGATAGCTAACGTGGCAACCAATTAACTCTTCCACTGCTGAGATACCACTTTTAGCTTCATTAAATGAAAGGCACAAATCACAACCACACATGCATAGCAGACTTCGAGAACTTACGTTGTCAGTGCAGATGGCTCTTCAGTTTTATTTTATTTTTAACCATAGCAAACAATATGGAGAATCGGCTTTTCTCGCTTATGGACAGTGTCCAGTGTCAATGGGATCTCTATTAATCAGAGATTCCAGCTGCCTTGCTGCTGTGTGAGTAATGCTGTTTTTTTCCATCAGCAACTAACTTAACGATGACAATGATTTCTTTTGGCTATAGGTTGCTTTGGGGTTTGTTTTTTGAGTGATCTTTATTTTTATACATGTAACATCACTGTTAACTTACGAAGACGTGTGTTGGTGTGGTGCTATAATTTAAAGCCAAAGAGACTGAAGGTGGTGAAGAACGAGTGAGGTATCTTGCTAAGCCATATAGTACCCATGCTCCAGATATGTTTGACAGCCTGTTAGTATCTGAATGGCACTGACCGAGTTCAGTCTGTATAATTTGAGAGAAACCCTTTTTTTCTCTCATAATATGATGCCTATAGCCAACAGGGGCCTTGAACTGGACTCCTCTCTTCAAAAGTGTAATTATTGGTGATGCTTTTTCATGCTGGCCTTTGGAACCCTGAAATATTTTTCTTCATTTAAATGTAGGCTACTGTTAGCTCTTCTGATCTTGGATGACCACAGGAAAGGACATCCACCAGGTTAATAAAAAAGGGACAGAAGAGTTTTAAAGTCAATAGCTAGAAGAGCTTTCTTTTTCTGAGAATTAAATTGGTAGTCTTACAGTGAACACAGGCTTATATCTAAACCAATGAAAAACTGGATAGCTTCATTTTCTAAGTATCTACAGCATAAGTTAGATGTTTTCAGTATTCTGAGCTGAGTGCAACTGATATGATTTCTGTCAATGTGGATTCTGGATCCTTTGAATGTGGGGCAATGGCATTTCTTTTATACATTGTTTACCTTTTTATACCAAATACCAAATGCTGTGTGCCTTCCACATTGTGTTTGTCTTGCTGTAGCTCTCAGAAATGTTCATCTAGAGAATGTCAATGCAGTGTCAGTTCTGATTTTGTTTTTCTATTTTGTTTGCCAGAAATCTTCAGAGATCATGGTCTCTGCCAGAATCATCCATCGTAGTTCTTGTAGTTAAACCTCAGGAAGACAAATAACAATATTCCCTGTTGTTTAGATGCTGGGTTTTAGATGAGTCACACAAACAACTAATTACTTAATATTTTTGATAACGAAGTATCCAATGACTTGAGGAAGTCAGGGATGAAGTAGTCTGGTGCCCTGAATGATCTTTTAGGGCTGAAATTACAATGGTGGAGTTTGTTTTTTTTTTAATTATGGAATTTTTGTTCGCATACAAGCTGTAGTGAACACATGCCGAGGTAGAGAATTTCACAGTATTCCCGATTTCTCTTCACCGCACAAAATGGAGGGGAATAAAATAATAATAAAAAAAATCACACCTGTGGCATGCGGTGGTGATGACACAGTTGATCATGAGATGTTGCTGCCTTCTTTCCAAGGCATTTTTGTGGTAAACTGTCTTATTTTTTTTACCCACCCCGTTCTGCCAGACGACAGAACCTCAACACCCGCTCCTGTTCCACACAGGACCTCTCCCACCTAGTTTACACCCGCAGAAGACAACTCAGTCACCTCCACCTCACCTTCCCGTTACGTTTCTTCCCTTGAGACGACCCCTGGAAGGGAAATAAACACTTTCGGCGACGGTCCTCAAGGAAAAGAGCCTTCAAAACTTCCAGGTTTGACGGGAGACGGTTTTTCCTCTCAGCGGTTTTTGGGCGGGCGCCGCCTTTCTCCTCAGCGCCCGGGAAGGGGCGGGCCGCCGCCGGGGGGCGGTGCCAGCGCTCGGGGCATGCGGCGTCCGCCTCTGCGCTGCGGCCGCGGCCATGAGGCTGTCGGCGCGGAGCCTCCGCCCGCCGCCCGGCCCTTTGTTTCTTAGGGTCAGCGGCTGCCCTCCCTCTCCCCCCTCCTCTCTCCTCCGCCGCCGCCGCCCTTGACGGCAGGGGCGGTTTGAACCCGCCTGAAGGGAGGAGGAGGAGCAGCAGCCGCCGCCGTTGCCGCCCAGGATGCGATGGGGAACTGCTGGGCGCAGTGGTGCTGCGGGCTCTTCTTCCGGAGGGAAGCCGGCCGGCTCCAGCGAGGCGGAGGGTAAGCGGGCAGAGCGGCTATCCCTTTCCCCTCCCCGGGGCGGGGAGGTGCTGGGCCCGCCCGGCTCCGCCTTCCCGCCTTCCATCCCTCCTCCTCGGCGGGCGGTGAGGAGAGGCGGCCGAGCTTTGGAGGACCCTGAGGCGGCTGGTCCCCGTCCCCCTCCTGCAGCTTTGACAGCGGGACGTGGGTTGCTTTGGGGTAGGAGGCGGGGGGTGAGGAGGCCGGGGGGCTGCCGCGGTGCCCGGTGTGGGCTCGGCAAGGAAGGTGAGGTGGGTCAGTCGGTGAGGGGGACGGCCGCCGCCTCATGCGGGGTCTGGGTACGGCCGGGCTGCAGGGCAGCCCCCTTCGCCGCCTCCCCTCAGGAGCAGCAGCGCGGGTAGATTGAAGG